CTCTGCAACCTGCTTCTTGGCTATAAATACCCATTTTTCCTTGTTATATTCGGAGTTGAGCCCAGTATAACACTGTCCTCTCCTTTCCCCTCGTGCGGTGGTTTCTGATTAGAATCTGTTTTTACTGCTTTAAATACTGTCCAGCTCTGGTTCTCTTTAATAGTGTTCACAGTGCCTTCCTAAAAACTGATTTATAATGCAGATCATTTTAAATCAGCTCAAATTTACCCTATGCTTCGTTTTGGAGTTGCATATTCAATGAAACATCTACCATCAAATACATCAGAGCTCCAGGGCAGAAATAGGACAACTTATTCTCTATAATCACATAAATCAATAAATTATGCTTCAGATCACTAAATATTGAAGCTGGGAGGAGCTTTGGAGGTCATCTTTTTATTTTATAGAAAAGAAACCAAGGTCAAGATTGATATCTTGGCTAAATCTGCTGTTTTGGAGGTGGTGGGGACAGAAGTTGGAGCCAGAATGCATGTTTCTGGTGCAGCCTTAGGCTTTTTAGGCTCTTCTCCCCATAAGTGCAGCTGTTGATTTACGTGGTGCTCTGATGACAGTTGGCAGCATAAAACTCTGCTATGTCATAAATTTACACATATTTAGAGTGCCATGCTAGCTCTGATATGTATTGGTTAAACAATTAATTGACATTAATTTAGAGGGCTTTTGGGGGATCACTGGATGGTACTGTGTGATATGGTAATTTATTATAAATACACATCTTGGCCTTTTGGCCAAGTTCCTGGCTAACAGCTCCCTAAACCCCTGGAATATCCTCAGTGATAAGAGCAATGGAAGCATCTTTTGTTATAATATTTGATTTCTTGTCCTCAGTTCCTGAAATCAGAGTCATAAAGGTGAAATGGATGTCTTGTTACTCATAACAAGCCCCTTTCAGTTACAACTGTTTATGTTAATAAGGTGGCTTTTGAAAATCCCTGAAGATGATGGAGCTGGTTGCCAGGGGAACCAACCCAGAATAGAGGGTTGGAATTTATTCCCATCTCCTGATTTCCCAGGAGGAAAGAGGGGCTGGAGGTTGAATCAATCACCAATGGCCAGTGAGTTAATCAATCATGTCTATGTAATGAAGCCTCCATGAAAATCCCAAAAGAGGGGGTTCAAAGGGCTTCCATGTTGAGAAACCAGAGCTCTTTCATGTGCCACTGTGCTGGGCCCAAATTCCATGGGGACAGAAGCTCCTTTGTTCAGTACCTTGCCCTATGTGTCTCTTTTATCTGGCTGTTGATTTGTATCCTTTATATCTTTGTAATAAATTGGTAATCTAGTGAATAAACTAGTTTCCTGAGGTCTGTGAGCTGCTCCAGAAAATTAATCAAACCCAAGGAGCAGGTCATGGGAACCTCTGATTTGTGGCCAATCTGTCAGAAGAGCAAGTGAGAACCTGACTTGCAGTTGGCATCTGGAGTGTGTGTGTGTGTGTGTGTGTGTGTGAGAGAGAGACTGAGCCTTTACCTGTGGAATCTGATGCTATCTCCAGGTAGATGGTGTCAGAATTGAACTGAGTTGTTGGACACCCAGCTGGAGTTGAGGAATCACTTGGTGTGGGGGAAAAACACACAAAGGAATTGTGGTGTGCAGAATCAGACTCAGACTCAGACTCTGAAACCCGAAATATCCAACATCCCTGAGAGAATACTTTATTTGGCAATGTGTCTTGAGTGCCTGTGAGATGTGCTGAGGACTTAAAATGCAACAATGAGCAAGACACAGCTCCTGTGCTTGGTGATGCTCAGTGAGTGTCGGGGTAGCAGACTCCTGATGAGGTGAATACAATATGACGAGGTTATAATCAATACAGGGCTCCAGGGAAGATCGCAGGAAGATGGTCTGATCAATTGGAGGGCAGAGGAAGCTTTCTGGAGGACTGTTAGGATGTGTGGGGGTGAGAGGAAGAATATTCTAGGACAGGGAACCACATAGTCAAAGTCTGGGAAGTAAATGACTCAACTTTCAGGGGGATGAGAGGACCGGCACATTCCAGGTCCCTGGAAGCCAGGATTGGTCTCTGTGGTTGAGAGGAGAGCAGGAAAGGAGGGAAAGAGCCATATCAGAGAGGCCTTGTCAGCAAGCAAAGCGCTTTAAGAGGCCTGGGCTCCACTGTAAAGACAAAAGGAAAACATTGAGTGTTAAATCAGGAGAGTGGAATCAGTTACGGGCTTTAGGGAGATTAATCGGGGTGTGGTGGAGAATGAGTTGGATAAGGATGTGGGACAGGGAGGCTGTCACTGTACTGAAGAGAGTTATGGGGAACTTGAGAGAAATGGTCCTGGGATGGAGACAAGCAGATGCATCAAAAGATGGTAGGGAGGGGGGCATGTAAGGACATAGAGAAAGAACTTTGTAATAGGAATCTCCTTTTTCCACTTTGATTTCTTACTTTTGGGATGAGCCAACCCTGAGCAGAAATGGATTTTGCAGAAGGGCAGGTCAAAGAAGGACAGTCAAGTTCTTCTTGGTCCACAATGTGGGGGACATGGCAAATGGGAGCTGGCCTCAGGGTTTCTGTTTTGTTCTGTTTGTTTTACTGTGGCTAAATCCTTCCTATTCCTGACCTCCTGCCCCACCTCCATCCCACCGTGTCCACCTCTACTAACCTACAGGTTAGTACAGGGGACACAGACAGCCTCTCAGAAGGGCAAGGTGGGAAGGAAGGACCCTGTGCTCTTAACATGAATATTCCTTGCTAAGTTAGTGGTGGAGTCAGGACAAGATTCCCCTAGCCTCCTAGCCCAGTCTCCTACCAGCATGCCAGGAATCCCCTTGCCTTTCCAGCTGTGTCACCCCTTTCTCCTCCAGCCCTCAGTTCTGCTGTGTAGACTCCCTCTGCACAGACCTTGTGCATTCTGAGTGTATTGTGGGTTGAATTGGGTCCCTTCCCTACTTCCTACATTCATAGGACTTCATGTTGGACTTCATGTTGAAGTCCTAGCCCCCAAAACCTCAGAATGTGACCTTGATTGTAGATAGAGTGGTTGCAGATGTAGTTAGTTAAGTTAGGATGAAGTCATGTGTGGGCTCAGTCGTGTCTGACTCTTTGTGACTCCATGGACTATAGCCTGCCGTGCTCCTCTGTCCATGGAATTTTCTGGGGAGGAAAATGGAGTGGGTTGCTATTTTCTTTTCCAGGGGATCTTCCTGACCCAGGGATTGAACCCCTGACATGAGCATTGGCAGGTAGATTCCTTACCACTGAGTCACCGGGAAGCCCAAAGGTGAGGTCATACTGGGCTCCTAATCCAATAAGACTGGGGTTATAAAGGAGGAAATTTGGATATAGATACAGACACACTCAGAGGGAGAACGCCATGTGAGGGTGAAGGCATAGATTGGGGTGAGGCCAAGATATGCCAAAGATTGCCAGCAAACTACGAGCAGCTAGAAGAGAGGCATAGAACATATTTCCTTCTAAAGGAATTGGCCCTGCTGACACCTTGATTTTGGACTTCTAGCCTCTAGAATTGTGAAAGAATAAAATTTCATTGTTCCAAGACACCGAGTTTGTGGTATTTTGTTATGGCAGCTCTAGCAAACGAATACCATCTAAAAGGCCTTTGTACCCTTCCCTGGTAATAGCTTCACAATGGCCTATAAGATCACTCTGCCTGACACAGAGTGGCCACGGTCCTATAGGGTCAAGATTAACAGAAGATTACTCTTGGGCTGAGTGCCAAACCCATCATCACTTTTCTTTCTTTCAGCAGGCTTACTTGTTTCTCCTTAAGGGCCTATCCCAAATTGTGTTCTCTGGTGATAAGTTTAAAGGATTTCATCTCCTAAAGTATGAGTTGCCAATGGTACACCTAGATAGCAAATTGCAAAGCAGAGACATTACTTTTTCGACAAAGGTCTGTATAGTCAAAGCTATGGCTTTTCTGGTAGTCATGTATGTCATACATGTGAGTCATACATGTGAGTCATGTATGGTAGGATGTGAGAGTTGGACCAGAAAGAAGGCTGAGCGCTGAAGAATTGGTGCTTTTGAACTGTGGTGTTGAAGAAGACTCTTGAGAGTCCCTTGGACTGCAAGGAGGTCAAACTAGTCAATCCTAAAGGAAGTCAGCCCTGAATATTCACTGGAAGGACTGATGCTGAAGCTGAAGCTCCAATGTTTTGGCCACCTGATGAGAAGAGCTGACTCATTGAAAAAGACCCTGTGTGTGTATGTGTGTGTGTGTGTGTGTGTGTGTGTGTGAAAGTTGCTTAGTCATGTCCGACTCTTTGTGACACCATGGACTATACAGTTCATGGAATTCTCCAGGCCAGAATACGTAGTGGGTAGCCTTTCCCTTCTCCGGGAGATCTTCCCAACCCAGGGATCGAACCCAGGTCTCCCACATTGCAGGCAGATTCTTTACCAGCTGAGCCATAAGGAAAAGACCCTGATGATGGGAAAAATTGAAGGCAAGAGGAGAAGGGAATGACAGAGGATATGATGATTGGATGGCATCACCAACTCAATGGACATGAGTTTGAGCAAACTCTGGGAGATAGTGAAGGACAGGGAACCCTGGCATGCTGCAGTCCATGGGTTCACAAAAATTCGGACTCAGCATCTGAACAACAACAACGTCACATCAGAGATAAGAATTATTTTTTTGAGAAATTAAGAAATAAGTTTCCTAAATTCAGAATCTGTCAATATACTTTATCTGAAATACTTGTCAGTTGCTGAATAATATACACACACACAAATATGTGTTTATGTATGTATGCTTAATATGTAGTATGTAGACATACATCTGCAATATATACTTGCTTTATGTAAAAAAATATATAGACATACATCCTAAATGTAATCTACAGTTAACATTCTCAGTTAAACATCTCTCCAAAATGTTTATCCTAAAAAGATACACTGAACTGTTTATATGCTCTGTCTTGGATTAAACCTCTTGGCAAGATTCTTTGGACATTAGGAGAATGTTAAAAGCGTATCCAGATACACATATAAAAGTACTTACCAAGGAACATTTCAATAACAGATGCCTTCATAGTGAGGACAACAATCCCCATAAATATCAAAATGGCACCCTAGAGAGGAAGAAACAATAACATCATCTTGTTTCAGCCAAGAGTTCTGAATTGCATGCGCAGAGTGTAGGGAGGGGTGGCCTCCTTCTGCCTTGCCCTCTGGAGTCTTCAGATTTCAAGCTGTGGCTCTCTGTAAACAACACATGGAGATGGCGGAGGTCGGCTGTCCTGGTACCCAGAGAGGCTCTTCTCAGAAAACCCATTCTGGCCGCGAGCCGCCTCTTCTTCAGAGATGTGGTCTTAGACTGAAGAGGAAATAATTCCGCAATTTCCTGGATATGCTCAACCAGTCTTCCAATTAGGACAAAAGTCACACTTATGGCTTTTACAGAACACTTTTAGATTACAAACTGTTCTAGATTACAAAAGCAATTCATTCACTGTTTTTTCAGTAAACATTTACCAAACTGCTATTATATGCCTAGTGATGAGTTTATAAAAGTTGAATTAAAAAATAGTTGTGCTCTTAAAAGACACAGTTTGATAGCAAAGTGAGAAAACATACGTGGACAGAAATGACCCTAACATTAGAGAGTGTGCAGGCCCCTAAAGGAGAATAAGGGGAGTTTGTGGACCAGTCATTCTCAAAATTAGCCACATATTAGTATCATCTGGGAGTTTTGAAAGGCCCTGATGCCCGGGCTGCATCTCAGACTAACTGAATCAGAATCTCTTGAGAGTGGGATCTATCTAGGCATCAGGCTTTTTCAAAACTCCACAGGTAATTCCAATGTACAGCCAAGTTTGAGTGATTTAGAACAAGGCTTCCTAAAACTTAATGTACATATCTGGGGATCTTGTTAAAATTCAGATTCTAATCCAGAGAGTTGTCAAGAAGTCCCCAAGAATTTTAGAGGAAAGAGAGATTATGTCAGCTGTGGGAATAAGAGAAAGTCTCGTGAAGGTGGCAGCAATTGGGTTAACTCTGAGAGATGAAAATAGGAGACGAAGTGGCTCCAAGTTGAGGTGAACAGCATTTAAAGATGCTCAGAGGTTGAAAAGCACAGTGGATACAAAGATGCTATTGATCCATAGAGGTTCCAACTTCTCTTAAGACTATGAGGAAATGTTAGGTTTATTCATACCACCATTAATTGAATGAATACTGTGCATACTATATTGTCTAGAATCTGCACAGCAAGCAAAGTAGCAGATTTTATGATCCCCGTTGAACAAATGAGGAAACAAAGGCTTACAAAGGTAAATTAGAGGTTACACATATGGTAACCAGGCAGTGAGTAGGATTAGAATGGAGGTGGCAGTAGGTGGGAAGGATCTACCCTGGGCTTAGGCCATATGGAAGAATATGGTCTATAGAGAATTTAAAGACTTAAAGTTGGTCTGCTCTTTATTATCCTTATAAACTAGCAATTCTAAACAATGTCAGTGATAAAGCTCTCCTCCTCTCTGGGGCAGATGGCCCCCACTATATTCACTCCCCACCCCCTCACCTCCCGCCTGCCACTGCTGAGTGGCAGGCTTTTAGGTTTTAGCTGGCATTCATAACTCTACCCCCTGCTATGTCCACTGGTGTGCTAGGAAACCTGCTGTCTGGAAAAGAAGTTCTGATTTAAAGCATTTGTCAATTTCTATGGCATAAATCCTCCCACCATGGGTGATTTTGAAGTCACCAAAGTGATGTCACTGCCTGGAGATTTGGAAAGAGAGAAACACAATCTGATACTAGCTAAGTCTAGAGCAAGCATATAATTAATAAATAGATACACTTCTGTGCAGACTTTATTAACAAAAAGCAGTTATTAGATTATAGCTAGGGTAGTAATACAAGCACTTGATACTATCAACTTAAATAAAAATGGTAGTTGAAAGGCTTTATTACAAACAGATTAGGCAGCAAGAGTAACCTCAAGCAGAACTGTCCCTTTGCTAATTTCCAGCAATAGCTGTAATGCGTTAAATTTCCCAATTAAGGTAGTTGACCACTAGCTAAGTAAAAGGAAAATGGTTTTTTTCCTTCAAAATAGAAATAATCATACCCTGTGTATGATCAGCAATTTGATACTTAACTAGCTGGGTCATATTTTGGAAATAATGTGATAACAAGTCAAATTTTTTGTGTGTGTTTTACTAGTTTGAGAAGCTGCAGATCAGCTCACATGTTTTCAGGCTTAAAATTTTAACCCTCCTGTTGGGATAAATGCAGTATATTAATCTGCTTCCTGACCCACCTAACTAGCTTCACCAATTGGCTGTTGCCATCTGACACTGGACTTTAAAAATTTTTTTAAATCAATTTATTTTTTCATTGAAGGATAATTGCTTTACAATATTGTGTTGGTTACTGCCATACATCCACCATGAATCAGCCAAGATATACATATGTCCCCTTCCCCTCCCACTTGAATCTCCTTCCCACATCCCACCCCATGCCACTCTTCTAGGTTGTCACAGAGCACTGGTTTGAGCTCCCTGAGTCATTCAGCAAATTCCCACTGGCTATCTATTTTGCATATGATAATTTATATGTTTCCATGCTACTTTCTCCATTTGTCCTACCCTCTCCTTCCCACAGCGTGTCCACAGTCTCTTCTCTATGTCTGCATTTCCACTGCTGCTCTGCAAATGGGTTCATCAGTACCATCTTCCTAGATTCCATATATATGTATTAATATATGATATTTGTTTTTCTCTTTTTGACTTCACTTTGTGTAATAGGCTCTAGGTTCATTCACCTCATTAGAACAAATTCAAGTGTATTCCTTTTTATAGCTAAGTAATATTCCATTGTGTATATGTACCACAATGTCTTTGTCCATTCATACCTGTCAATGTACATCTAGGCTGCTTTGTCTGTGAGTCATTCTAGATTTCTCTTTCTCTTGTCCTGCACATCTTTTCCATCAACCAAGACTGTTGACTCTACGTTCATAATTTACCCAGACTCTGACCACTTCATCCTATCTTGACCATTCCCATCTGGTCCAGGCCATGCCCCCTCTCACCTGGATTAAAGAAATTAGCCTCCTAACTAGGCTGTCTCCTTCTGCCCCTGCAAACTGAAGTCCACACAGCCGCTGCTGTGATACTCTTCAAAGCAAATCAGTTCATGGTATTCCTCAGATCAAAACTTCTGTGGTTCTCTTAGAAGAAAAGCCAAAATCCTGGCAAGTGGCTCAGGACCCCATGAGATTTGGCCACCGTTGGCCCTCTGACCTCTCTTCCCTCCATTCTCCTTCTCACTTAATAAGCTCTGGGCACACCTCTCCCTTCAGGGTCTCCTCTGCTGCTGCTAAGTCACTTCAGTCATGTCTGACTCTGTGCGACCCTGTAGATGGCAGCCCACCGGGCTCCTCCGTCCATGGGGTTTTCCAGGCAAGAGTACTGGAGTGGGTTGCCACTTCCTTCTCCAATGCATGAAAGTGAAAAGTAAAAGTGAAGTCGTTCAGTCATGCCAGACTTTTAGCGACCCCATGGATTGCAGCCCACCAGGCTCCTCCATCCATGGGGTTTTCCAGGCAAGAGTACCGGAGTGGGGTGCCACTGCCTTCTCTGTAGGGTCTCTGCACTTACTGTTAACTCTACCTGGATGGCCTTCCCCCAGATCAGAGCAGGGTTTACTCCCTCATTTCTTTCAGGTCTTTGCTAAATGTTATCTTCTCCTGAGATTTCCCCTAATCACTTAACTTAAAATTGCAATCCCTCTCCCACCCACCATCAATTGGCACAGCCTATCAAGTGGTGCAGGTGGTAAAGAATTCACCAGCCAATGCAAGAGACGCAAGTTCAGTCCGTGAGTTGGGAAGATCTCCTGGAGAAGGAAATGGCAATCCACTCCAGTACTCTTGGCTGGAAAAATCCCATGGACAGAGGAGCCTGGCAGGCTATAGTCCATGGGGTCCCAAGAGTTGGACACGACTGAGTACCACCAGCATCATCCTTTCCCTATTGTCTTTTTTTTTTTTTTTCAGTCACTTACCACCTCTGACATACTCTGTACTTTGCTTATTGTATTTATTTATTGTCTGTGTTCTCCACTGGAATGCAAGCTCCATGAAGGCAGGAATTTTTATTTGATCTTTTATGGGCTTGATAAATATATTTAATCCATGAGTGAGTAGTTAGGGCTTTTTCTTTTCCCAAGGAAATTAAGAAAGGAAACAAAATGAAGACAATCTGTGAATACTCTAAAAGCTACTGAATTGTATACTTCCAGAGGTGTATTTTATGACATGTGGATTATATTTCAATAAGTATTATTAACAGTCAACAAAGGGAAGATGGAATTGCAGAGAAAAGGGCTTAGATCTGTCCTACAACTTAAGAAGTCATGATAGACCTGACCTTCATACAAAGAGGTGGATGGATAAAAAACAACAGGATTCCAGGAAACATACTAACCCCAGAGGAAATATCCCACAAATGCTGACTCATCAGCAGTGGACCGCAACCAGAATCACTCTGGTCTCTTAGAATCAGGATGTTCTGAGGTTTCTATCTTACCACTGGATTTTCTCTCTTTGCTTGGCTCATTTACTTACACATTTCAAGTGTAAATATGCCTTTTGAAATGTGTGAAAAAATTCAAACCCTTTCTTAGCCTTTATAGAAATGAGATAAGGATGACCACCAGTATTGTTAAACAGTTTCTGCAGGCAGTTCAATGGCAAGCAGCTGTGGGTTACACGGTGATGTTGGAAACTTACTATCTCATGTGCTCACCAGGTTTCTAGCAAAAACAGAACAATAGAGGTTTCCAAAAGAATGAGTTACTGATTCATAGATTTATAAATTGTGAGGTGTAATATAGAGTTCTGAATATGAAGTTCTGGTAAGGTAAAGGAAGGCTGCTTGTGAGATAAAAGTATGCATAAATAGAGTAGTCAGCCAATTTAATTAAATCTCTTGCTGCCTAGAATTGGAAAAGAGCCAATCATTGGTAATAAATATAATGCCACCCTATTTTGTGTGGTTCTTCAGTGTTTTTCCTCCATTTTTAAAAAAGTATGGTAAAATACAAAAATGTAAAATTCATCTTAACC